TATCGAGAATGTTTGTGTACATGACATGGAAGTATTTGTGTGTCAAACCACCAAGAATCTGTAGTTACAAGTTTAATGCAATGACTATTAGGCGCTAAATGTTATACATTTTAGCCCCTTAACTTGTATGTTTTATTCTCTTAGTTGTAGTTTATTTGTGATTTTACATTATTTTATTATTTTATTATTTATTTCAGGGCTTTAATTGTAAAATCAGTTAACACCAGTGATTTCGAGCTTTAAAAGATGACAATCCATAGGACCGGGCAATGTTGAAAATCCAAGTTTAATTAAACTTAGAAAAGAATCCAAAAGAGGCCACAAGTTGATGAAAATAGAAAGAAGAAGAAAAGGAAAAATCATTCTCCCACACGGAAACTTTTGCCAAAGTTGGTAACTTGAATCAGTTTTGGTAAACTGTATGTATCTCCCTCCTCGAATGTCAAAACAGTTAAATTCTCTCGAATGTTGAAAGAAAATTCGAAGAGCTAAAATTTTGTATATAACGAGCATTTCATAAAATAGCTGTTTACATTATCAAAACTGAGCTGGAAGTTTGTATGAATTTTGGAGTTCTTGTTTGGTAGAATTTCCATATATGTCTTTTATGTGAAAATATATGTCTTTTATGTGAAAAAAGGAACTTTAGGGCTGATCTTCTCTTATTTAAAAGGAGTTCTCTACATCATTAGGACATCCTACAGAGGAGCTTGAGGCTGAGATCAGAGAAGAAACATTCAGAAGAAAGAAGGAACCAATCGATGGCGATGAAGATGTCTTCCTCAACAATGAAGAATTCCACTCCAATCATGCTTGGCTAAATGATTTGCTAGGGTTATGATGTAGCCCTAGCTTAGCACTACCAGTTTGATTGTATTTTTTTTATTGGAGAACAATTATTATCATGCATAATTGTATAATCTATAGAGTTTTTAATTAAATTTTTAATAAGAATCGGTTTTAGAGTTTTAATTCAATTACAAATATTTTTCTATCTTATCTTAGATATTTTAATGTTGTGATTGAACAAAACTCATTCACTTATTGTAATTGTGAATGAGATGATTATATAATGGTATTCTCTGAATATAATGTTAGAGATTTGATGGATTATGCCTAGAAAAGATAGACCATGCTACACCCTAGAGTAAAGTAGTTAGGTAGATTGTTTATGCCAATTGAAGATAGTCCATGGCTTTAAATTATATTATTTTCTAGCTGAATTTATATGTGTTTGTAGCCATGATTAATTCCCTATGCAAGTTATATGTTATATCTCTAATAAATTGATGCAATTGACTTGTGGTGCGACGTTATAGTGGTGAAGTCATATCCTAATTCTCTCTCTATTTTCTACATCCTATTTAATTATTATTAGCATTTTATTTTTTAATTTAGTTAATTTAGAATAAATCATCACAATTCGATTATTCTACTTTCAATTTAATTTGAAATTTAAGAAATCTGTTGACAAACTTAATTTACACAAGTCTCTTAAGTATAATAACCTTACAAGTAAACCCTATCTGCAAAGATTCGTGCACTTGCAAGTGGTACATATATATCACTACAATGACCTCATATAGTTTTAACGACTTTGGTTTTCTTGTTAACTCACATCTACATTTTTTGCTTGATTTTATTATTCTTTGAATAATTTTTTAAATGAATAGTGCTACCTATTATGGTCCACATATAGATCACCGAAAAAAATTAAAAAAAGAAAGTATATAACAGTGCATTTGCATCACTGTACAGGTGTGAGTATTTATCCTTAACCGATTTGTTGCAGTGAATTACCTAACTGAATGTTACTGATTGGTTATTTATGCACAATACATGCAAGTGGAGGGCCCATATCTTTATTTATGCATAAATGGATCCATTAAAAGAAATAAGTTTGGCAATTCACTATAACAAATCGCAAAAAAAAAAAAGAAAAAGAAATGGGACCCTCCACTTACATGTATTGTGCATAAATAACTAATCAGAAACATTCGGTCAGCTAATTCACTAAAACAAATCGGTACAACTATTATTACTCCGCCAATTAATAAAGGGTTAGCGGGAGAAGACTAGTCGTCGTACATGGTTTTGTGTCCGCCTTCACTGAAATTACATAAATACTAACCGTTTTCAAAGTTTTTAACCACCTATGAATATTTACATTAGACTAGAGAAGGAAATATTCTACACTTTAAGAGGTTAGAAGCAATCATGAGGTTTCCACAAATATTGCTACTACTGTTGGTGGTGGTGTTGGTAAAGGAGTTAGCAATAAATGCAACAACTCCCTCAATAAGTTGCCCACAAAGTTGTGGGAACCTTACTATTCCATACCCATTCGGCACAAGCTCGGACTGTTGTCGAAATGAGTCCTTCTTGATAATATGTAATGACTCCAAGCTATATTTTCCAGCTAAACAGTACATCTACTTCCACGACTGTTTTTATTTAGAAACTATCAATATTAACGACTTAACTGTCCTTAACGTATCACTTGATGGCTAGTTGCAAGTCTCTACTTGGTTAGGGTATATGCGTGTTACAACAAATTTGGTGGATTGGTTGACTCCTACAATTCACCGTTTTTCGCATATTTCCCCATCTCTTCTATCAAAAATAAGTTCACGGTAATAGGTTGTGACACTTACACAAATATAGAACAATACCAAGGATCTGGGTACACAAGTGGTTGCATGTGAATCTGCGATGATTTTTATAATATGGTCGCTGGTTCATACTCTGGTATAGGTTGTTGCCAAACATCTCTTCGTGAAGTAGTAAATGAACTTCAGTTGATTGTGAGCACTTATAATTACCCCACAGATGTTATCGACTTCAATCCCTGTGGCATTTGGCTAGCTACCAGTAATTGTGAGATATATTTTATAATTGGCTAATTTTGTTGTCAAAACAAGTCTGATTGAGTTGTAATTTTTCGGTTCAAAATTTCAAAGATTGAAGATCGGATGCGGATTTGAAGAAGTACAAGTGTTCATGGGTTGCTACACTCCGAGATGATGAGAACAATGTTTTAGGAAGGTATGTGAATGAGTGAGAACACTTTAGGGAGTTTAAAAGGTAGAAAGAAATAGAGATTTCACTTCTGGGAATCGGTAGGAGGATCCTTGAACTAGTAGCAAACCTTGGTCCACAACAGGTTTGGTCACTGTCAACCTTGAATTGGTACCACAGTTGGGAATCGGTAGCCAAAGTGCGTTGAAAAGGCTTCTGACCTTCTTGCATTGGTACCAAGTTTGGGAACCGGTACCAAAAGTCCTGACTGGATTAAAACTTTTAGTTTCCTGTTCTAATTATTTCCTTTTTGGTCCTAACTTCTTTCCAAATCCTATGCACGAAATTTTTCATAGTTTCTGAGGGATTAGGACATTCCAAACTCTATATAAACCTTGGTAGTCATCTATGTTTATTAATGGCTTTAGGGAAAATCAATTCTATATCTTGATAAAGCCTTTTAGAGAGAAAAAATTCAGAAAATCAAATCTGATTATTCTGAATTTATTTATGAGAGCATACATATATATTCATGAGTGATTTAGAGGTGTTGTTCTCTATCTCATCGGAATTATAGCTATATTGAAGATTTAGATATTCCGTATGAAGAACATGATTTAATTCTTCTACATCGAGTTTAGATCTTGAATAACAGAAGTAAAAGCGATCACACCTTGAAAGGGTTGGAGCATTCGAGGAGTGTTGTCTGATCTACCTGCTACTCTTTTACAAATATCAAGTATAAGCTTGAGGCCAAGTTGCTGTTGGACAAGGAGTTATAAAACTAGAGGATTGTCAGCAATTGGTGGTTGGTAGAACGATAGAGTGTGAGCCGCCAAAGTCAAAGTTCAGTGTACTTTGTTTCAAACATAGTGGATCGGTTTACTTTGGACTGGATAGTCCACGAGGTTTTTCCCATGCAAACAGTTGACGAATTTTATTAACTGAGGTTTTCTCGCTAAAAATCCTGGTGCAATCTCTCTAAACTTAACTTACTTAACTTTTTCAGTATTTATATTTATGATTATGGATGTTTAATTGATCATACAATTTAATCAATCATAAATTGAGCAAGTTGACCTTAATCAAATCTCGGTCATTAAATGAGTTAATTACAATTAAAATCAACTAATTATTTTCACACCCCGCGTAACTCTATTTTCATAGTAATGTTCATGGCAATCACCGGTTGAAGTACTTATATTGCCCTGTCTTTGATCTTTACTGTAACGTCCCAAATCCATTGGATTCGAATCATTAAACGGGTCCCTACCTGACCCAAAATTGTCCAAGGGTAATATGGTCCTTTCATGTTAAATTTGTATATTAAAGTCCAACAAGGACAAGATGGTCATTTGTCACAATTCTAATGGTCTGAGACTCAAAGGGCAAAATAGTCATTTACTTGTATCACATAATAAATAAGATAAAGTCTGGGACAATATAGTCATTCCTATGGTTAAAATATAATTTTTGTATTTCACTGGACCTTATAATGTGTAACAATATACTGAGTGAGTGGTCAAGGGCAAAATGGGAAAATAAGTTACAAATGTTTACTACACAGGAACCGGACAACGTGTATACATCACACGTCAACTGGTTTGGGACGTGAATAGTGGCAAAGCCCACTGTCAGGATACCGGTCGACGTATGGAAGGCTACACGTCGACTGGTTAAAGACTTGTACAGTGAAAATGCTCACTACCAAGATACCGATCGACATGTGGGATGCTACTCGTCGACTGGTTCAGGTCATTCGGTCGACGTATGGCATTTCACGTTGACTGGTTTTAGGTTATCCACACTCAATTGCTTACTGTCCAAAGAAAATCGAGATACACCAACTTTGATAACCAACCACCTATACCACTACATTCACGTACATATTTAAATACATTTCAACATCTAATACAGTAACAACAACCGCATTGTTAACATAATTTGCACACGTTGTATAAAATACGCTAAAAGATTAAGTGTAGTTAACTTAATTACATTTCCCTAGTGGCCATACATAAAATGAATTTGAATACTTTACATGTTGCAAAATACTACATTTTGAGTCAACACTTTACAAAATTATGCCCAATTACAAACGATAGTAAGAAGAAACATTTTTCTACTCCAAACTAAGGCTGGGGTGGATTGACGTCCGCCACTTCTTTTCCCAAACCTAAAAATGTTAAAATAATGGGGTGAGCAAAACGCTCAGTAGGAAGTGTTTAAGACACACTTCTTATAACCCCGTGAATCCACATAAGGAATAGGTAAAAGAAAATGAGATCATAACATAGGGGGTGCGTGGAAATAACTACAACGACAAGTATATAACAATTATCACCCAAACACATACACCATATATTTTAATGAAGTGCAATGTCATGCAAATGTCGCTCCCCATATTCAAAACATTTTCGTTTTAACATCGAAACCGTTAGTGTAATTCGACCCAAGGCACATCCAAGGCATCACGAAAGGAGGATTGACTAACTATCCACGACCACAAGGCACCTCCAAGGCGTCGCATCTGGCCTAGCTAGTTCAATCACACTCCCTCCTAGACTACATTAACATCATGGATCACTAGGCGCCTCCTAGGCGTCTGGTTTTCGCAAACACCTTTAGAAAACATTTTCCTAAAACACTTTCGTTTGTTTTAAAACACTTTTTTCCCCTTTTTTTTTTCCCAATGAATGCATGAATGCTTCATGCTTCAATTCACCAATTCCATCATAAGAGTTTACATATGCTTTTATAATTAAATCACTAAAATACACAACTTATACTTTCATTTCACATTTCTCTAACATATCAAGCATATAAATCACAAAATTTCATTTCATATAAGCATGTTTAAGCATAATATATCAAATAACACCTTGTCACAAATTCATACATGGCATTTAAACAATTTTCAAGAACTTATACTAATTAAACATGCAATTCAATAATTTATAAGAATTAAATTCACAAAAGCATAAGAAGAACCATATATTAGAGACCCCTACCTCAATGGGGATGAAAACCCCCAAAACTCCAAATCAAAGCCCCTACTTTTGAAAATTCAAAGATGGCCAAAATGGTGAATTGCTCCTATCCAAGCATAGGTCTCAACAAGCTCTTCGATTTGCCGCAAACGGCACCCAAAAATTCTCAAAATTGAGAAAGAAATCAAAGATTGAAGTTTAGAAGAAAAAAAAAAAGAAAAAAGGCAAGAAAAGAAAGAAAGAGAGAGATGGCCGGGAGAGTGAGAGAGAATGAGACCAATGTGGTCTCTTGGCCTCAAAATTAAAGTAGATGGTGGGCCCCACTTAAATATATATATATATATATATATTTTTTTTTTCTTTTCTTTTTAATTTCTACCACCAATATATATATATATATATGCTCCAATTATATCATAGCCACACACTTTAGCACTTAAATAATTTACTTAGGCACAAAAATAATAATGCATGGTATGCAAATGACCTGAGACACAACTCCCATACACAACAACTCTGGTAATAGTTTCACCCGAGACAGTCCGGTCCGGAAAACTGAAAAAAATGCTGAAATGATAACCCTTGCATTTCAAAGAGTCTCGAACTCAATGAAATGCCCCAATCAACTGTCGGACATAATCGGCACACTCTACGGTGTCCAGTACGCAAAACGAGAAAAGACAAAAATGTCCCTTAAAAATCAGAAAATTCCCAAAAATAGAAAATAGTTAAAAACAGAAGTGTCACATTTAAAAACTTTTTTCTTTTGATGAAGAGCGAAAATATCACAAATTATTATTTTTGACATTTGAGGATTGACTTAATTGGTACAAAAAAAACATAATTATATATATATATATATATATATATATATAAGTTTAATGCTATGTTACGTAGAAGGGGAAAAAATGAACGGAATGGAGAGAAGAAGGGGATGATAACACATCCATATGGAAGAGATTGTGTATTTTCTTCTTTTTGTTCAGTTGGATTGAAGAGAAGATAATAAACTCATAATTTATTATATTTGTTAAGAGGGTGTTATAAAATAAGGATCGAATAGGAGTTTATGAGAACAAGAGAAAAGTAAATGACAAGAAGAAAAATAGATACACACAAATGAGATAATGATTTATATGTGGTCTACCCTCACAAATAGAGTTACGTCCACGGATGATATTGATTCTTTTCACTATAAAGAAGAAAATTACAAACCGAAGAACATTTTGTTTCTTCATGATAAGTTCACATTTTATATATTTTATATTCCCAAACTTATATTAGTTATTATATTATTTTTATTTTTTTAATTAATTAGTTGATTTTTATATTTCTGTGTATTAAAGAAGAAAAATAAAATAATTATATAAAGAAATTGGTGGACAATAGAAAATGTGGCGGCAGAGAAAAAGAGTATACATATAATTTCAGTCAACATGCGATAGGAGAACAACTCAACAAGGAGAGTTAAATCTTTAGCTTATTCAACTTGAGGTCTCAAGTTCTAACTCTCCAGGGTGCAAAATTATATGTACTATCATTCTACATCAGTGCTTCGTCCACGTCAGTATTCGAAGCCTTTGTTGCAGAGTTAAAGAGTAGAAGCTCCCTGGTTCGAATCTTGGTAGCAGCAAGTTCTCACGTCTGTATTTTGGAAACAGACTAAATTCTAAAAACTATAAAATATAGGGAACAATGGAAAAGAAGGAATTTGTAAATAAAATAAAAAGAAAAGGAGGAGAGAGAAGAGAGGTAATGGGCCAAAAATGAGGGAAATCAGCGGGAAAATGAAGAAAAGGGAATCTGATGAAAGAAGAATTAAAAAATAAAAAGAATGGGAAATGAAAAGAATGTGGTCTGGTAGTGCGCGGAAAGAAAGAAGAAGAAGAAGAAGAAGGAAAAAAAAAAGAAAAAAAGAGGAAGATTAGGTAAAGGTGGGGGACAAAGAATGATAGGGTATATCATTGATAAAGTAATGAATTGATAAATGGGGATAGTGGAAATTGGCATTCAGAATGGCTATAAGAAGCGGGCCAATCAGAGACCTGGGGGATTCGGTCAGAAGAGGGATTGAGTCCAGAGCTTGTGTTTACATTCTAAGTAATGATTTTTTGATTGTGTTTATAATTGGAGAAATTTTTTTATATGTGTGATAGTTGCATAATTTAGACATAAAATATATTTTGAGTAAGTTTAAAATCGTTCTTATTGTGACAATGAGAATGATGATTGTGCAATGATTTTCGTGGCATGTAACGCAAGGGATTTGATAGGTCATACTTAGGTAAGACGGTACGTACTACAATCTTAGAGTAATGTACTTAGACGGTTCGTGCCAACTGAAGATGGGTTATATTTAACTTTTGATTATATGTGCATTTATCTTTTTGGCGATATTATTGTGTGCTTGTAGCCACACGAATCATAGTCATACATAGAATGAATTTTCACATATTAGATATGATTAGTCACGTGATTTGTGGTTAATTGGTTCCATTTCATTTTATCTTTTATTATTTTTATTTAATTCTGTTTAATTTTAATTATTTATTTCAAAGTCAAATCTTCAACCAATTTTTGTAAGTGTGATAGATTTAAATTAACTTGGATACCTTGGCTTGGGTTCAACCCTACTTGTCACTATAATGTTTTTAATAAAGTGATTGTAGGAAAATAAATTATTTTTGTACGAAATGTATACACAACGACAACATCTAAATACACGCATGTCACTTCCCCCACAATAATCTCTCTTTTCACATTACTCACTCACCAACAAAGAAGACTCACACAACACTCTCAAGAAATACCCAAATAGTATATGGTTTGCATAAAAAAAAAACTCACCCAAAGACTAACTTCAACTCTCTCTTAAAGATTATGTATACAAAAGAATTTTTTCACACACACAATCAATATACTCTCTGGACCCGAATATTGTCTCTCTGTCTCTCTCTTGCTCGGATGGGTCTCGGAAGATCATCATGCCTATGTTTATAGGCAACCAAAACCGTCTTCAGCCGAAGTGAAAAATCACCCCATTTGAAGTCAACCATTTACAGCTAATGTACACCCCATTTCTATTGAAAAATTTACTAAAGTACAAAAATGTTTTTTCAAGAAAGTAAGAAAAAGAGAAGAAAAAAAAGAAAAAAAAACAAAAATGAGAAGGAAAAAAATTAGAATTTACCTTGTGGGGATGTTGGGTTAATGGGCTCATCTCCAACATGGGTTCACTACAATGAAAAACCTATCCCTTCATTGGTCCACACCTGGTCTTAGATCTGTAAAACTCAATTTTTTCCAAATAAATATAAAATTAGTCACCTGGCTAGCAAGAATTTTATCCTCCAATCTTTTCAGATCGAAGTGCCTCGAAAAGAAGATTATTGATACCTTTGATTTTGAATTGTGGGATAATAATATATGTTTTACGCTCCCAAAAACCAATTAGTCATTTCCTGCACGGAACCCACCCCGAAATCAATAAAAATCTTATACAAAATATTTATAAACACTATAAAAGAAATCACCATCATTGATGAAAATAGAGGTTCATTAAAAAATGAAATAAAAGAAAAGGAGGAGAGAGAAGAGAGGCAATGGGCCAAATCTGAGGAAAATCAGTGGGAAAATGAAGAAAGGGAATCTGATGAAGAATTAAAAAAGAAAAAGAATGGGAAATGAAAATCACTACATATAGTAATGGGCGGGCCAGGACAGGGGTTATGTGCCCCGGACACACTGGCTCCGCCCCTGTTCACAATCGGCCTACTGTCAACGACAATTTCCATGCACCGAGAAATTAAGATAGTTCATCTTGTGAGGCTGCTGGCTTATTATTGGAAGGAACACGCCAATTATTAAAAGGTTGGCGGGAGAAGACTAGTCGTCCTACGCGGTTTTGTGTCCGCTTTCACTAAAATTACACAAATAGTTACTGTTTTCAAAGTTTTTAACCCCCTATAAATATTTACATTAGACTAGAGAAGGAAATATTCCACACCCAATTTAGATCAGAAGCAATCATGAGGTTTCCACAAATATTGGTACTGCTGTTGGTAGTGGTGTTGGTAGAGGAGTTAGCTGTAAATGCAGCAACTCCGTCAACAAGTTGCCCACAAAGTTGTGGGAACCTTACCATTCCATACCCGTTCGGCACAAGCCTGGACTGCTGTCGAAATGAGTCCTTCTTGATAACATGTAATGACTCCAAGCCATATTTTCCGGCCAAACAGTACATCTACTTCCACGACCGTTTCTATACAGAAACTCTCAATACTAACGACTTAACTGTCCTTGACATATCACTTGCCGGCGAGTTGCGAGTCTCTACTTGGTTAGGGGCATATGCGTGTTACAACAAATCCGGTGGATTGGTTGACTCCTACAATTCACCGCTTTCCACATTTTTTCCCATCTCCTCCACCAAAAATAAGTTCACGGTAGTAGGTTGTGACACTTACGCATACGTACAACATTACCAAGGATCTGGGTACATAAGTGGTTGCATGTCAATGTGTGATGATTTTTATGATGTGGTCGCTGGTTCGTGCTCCGGTATAGGTTGCTGCCAAACATTGATTCGTGAAGGAGTACGCAAAATTCAGTTGACAGTGAGCAGTTACAAAAACCACACAGATGTTATCTTCTTCAATCCCTGTGGCGTCGCCTTTCTTGCTGAAGAGGGCAGTCACACATTCTTCCCAGATGAACTTTTAAAAAACATGACCGTACGCGGAATTGGCCCGATGCCGGTTGTGCTTGATTGGGCTATTGGCAATGAGACATGTGAAGAAGCCAGAACGAATTTGAGCAGCTATGCATGTGGGCAAAATAGCATATGCTATAATTCCACTAAGGTTTACGGGTATCTCTGCAACTGTTCTCAAGGTTATCAAGGAAACCCCTACCTTTCAAATGGTTGCCAAGGTACGTATGTGAAATACTTGTTTGCTTATGTCAATTAAAGTTGTATTCATGTTTTTAACTTAATTTATATTTTTCAATTGTTCACAGATATTAACGAGTGCTTGAATGATAAACTCCATAACTGCACAAATAAATGCAATAACATAGCTGGGAGTTTTAATTGTTATTGTCCAAAGGGCTTTCACGGGGATGGAGTAAGGGGGAGCCAGGGTTGCATTCGAGATCAAACTAATCCACCAATAACGCTAATTACTCTAGGTAAGTGTATATTGTGTGAATTTTAGAAACTTCAGCTGCGGTAAAATTAATTTATAGGAAACTTTATTCAAGTGCTTGGCAAACATTTCGAATGGCCTAATCTTTTTTCTCTTCAAAATTTTTTTTTTTCTTTTTGTTTTTGTTTTAAATTATGTCACACACACACTTATTACTCTTATTATATCACAACCGTCCCTTCAAGAAAAATGAAGAGATGCCACTTGGACTTAAATTTCTAATGGCCTAATCTTTGTGTTTCGTAAAAATTTATTTTTGAAGGGGAGAAAATGTCTTTTCCTTAATGGACAAACATTTTTTCTAAACCCTCCTAATGCTCAATAAACCCCCTCAATTTTTCAAATTGAGCAAATAAGAACATTTTTTAAAATTGAAAATTGAAATACCTAAAATACTCTTAAAGACAAAATAAAATTAAAAAACAAAAACTCTCTCTCAAAAACAAAGAGAAAGAGGTTATTTTGAGATTCTTATAAAAGAATTTGTCAAAATCTACCATCAATAATTATCAAGGAACAATTTGCACACATATTTCAAATATTGAATAGTTATATGCTCATACTAAACTTGAGCAATGTTTTGTGCAAAATTTTTATATAAGAAAGTGTTTTCTTGCACTTTACCCATATGTTAATAAAAACTTTGATGACATCAAAAATTGTTGAGTGTGCGCAGCAGAATGGTTATGGAATATAATATGGATATATAATCTAGACGATCGTAAATATATTTAACTTACTCTTTTATCCAATTTTTACTTATTTTAATTTTACCAAAATAAAACCAAAATCAAACCACAAAGCAAAAATAAAGTACAAGTAAAAGGGCCCGTTTGGATTGGCTTTTGAAATGCTGTTTTTAGCTTTTTTGGGTTAGAAACTGTTTTGAGTAGTGTTTGGCTAATTTTTTAAAAGAGCTTTTGAGTCTTAGAAGAGCGTTTTGGACAAGCTGGGTACCCCCAGCTTTTCCTAAACGCTCTTGTTTTAAAGACACGGGAAGCTGTTAAGGGGTTTAATGAAACTTTCAAAATGCCAAATGTCCCCTCCATATTTGTGAACAAAAAATAAAATATTCCACATATATCCCTATATATATGGAAAGAAACCTAATCGCATCACAGATTGTCTCTTTCATCTGGTTCGCATAACAATGGGTTCATCCCCTCATTTTTCTCGTCCTCAAGATTAATCCATTGTGTTGGTTCAGACTTAAGAATTCAGAAAGCTTCTTAACATAGTTACATGAGATCCACCACCATCTAATCTTATATCTTAGCCCAATCTTCTTTTTTGACTCAGTCTCACACCCTATCGTTCTACCAAAAACCAATTGTTGACAATCCCTGTCTTTGCGACTCCCTCGTCCAATAGCTCTCGACCTTAGGCTTACTCTCGATCTTTGTAGAAGAGTTGCAGGTAAATTAGACAACACTCCACGAATGCTCTGACCCCTTCAAAATGTGATGGCTTCACCCCTTTTCTTCTAGATCTGAATTTGATGAAGAATGAATGAATTCTGCTTTTCCAAAATTTCTGAATATTCAATTATACTTCAATTCCATTGAGATAGAGAACAACACTACTAAATCACTCATAAATATATGTGTATGCTCTCATAAATAAATTCAGAACAATCAAATTTGATTTTCTGAATTTTCTCTCTCTAAAAGGCTTTCTCAAAATATAGAATTGATTTTCCCTGAAGCCATGAAATAAACCTAAAAGACTAACAAGGTTTATATAAAGTTTAGAAAGTCCTAATCCCTCTGAAAATATAGAAAATTTCATGCATAGGACTTGGAAAGAAGCCTAGTCCAAAACGGAATCAAACAGAGCAAAAAAGGTAAGTTACCAGAACTTTTCAGGAGTCTAGAACCGGTTCAAGAAGGCCAGAAATAAATTCGTGCATTTTCTTTTACACTTGAACCGGTTCAAGAAGGCCAGAAATAAATTCGTGCATTTTCTTTTACTCTTGAACCGGTTCAAGAATTTGGGAACCAGTTTAAGATGGTCAGTCTTGAATTTTTCCAATTCTACTGATCTTGAACCTATTCTGTACTTTTGGGAACCAGTTCAAGATGGACAGGATGTAAAATCTTCCTTTAAAACTTCCAAATTCTTCCTAAGTGTTCTCACTTCCTCTCCAAACTTCCTAAAGCATTGTTCTCATTATCCCAGAGTGTAGTATACCATGAATACTTGAACTTCTTCAAATCTGCATCCGATCTTCAAGTTTGAAATTGTGAACCGGAAAATTAGAACTCAATCGGACTTATTTTGACAACAAAATTAGGCAATATACAATATATATATATATATATATATATATATATATATATATATATATATATATTCGCGATCTCTCCAAAATATATATTTCACAAGAACCTCCTATCAAGATTGACTCCAAAAAGTGTGTTCTTGCACGTTACCCATATGTAAATGAAAACTTTGATGACATCAAGAACCTCCTATCAGGATTGACTCCAAATCCAAGGTTTTGGAATGATTACATGTATCAGAAGTGATTAGTGGTAGAATAATGTGATACCCCCTAATTTTGGAACACGGATTGATCAAGTCCGCGCACAAAATCAAGGGATATCAAAACAATTTAAGTATTTAACAAGCACAGAATACAAAGATGAATAATAAAGAATAAATAAACCGCTGAAGAAAACTAATAAATAAATATTACTTAATGATTCTCCAACAATTACAATTCGGAAATCCCATAACTCAAGGACCCCTTAAAATATTATCCAATAATCCAATACTATTTAAAAGTACACAAGATGAATAGACGAATGACAGTCTCCCAGCTGCGGATCCTCAACCTCGAGACTGGAATCTCTAATAACCTGAAAAATAAATCGTGGGTTAAACCCTACGAGCAAGTTCACTCTACTAGGCCTCTGAAAACCAATAAGCAGATCATCTCTGATCAAAACCAAACCTAATAAAGTTTTAACTTTAATAAAGCACGATATACATGTCTATATATAATTATATATACTATACTAATCACATCCATTAATAGGTTTATTAAATTTCCATACCTATTAAATAATTATTAAAATAATATTCATACCTAGACCAATCTACCATTTCATTTTATAAAAACTCCTTTGACCTTAATCCCATCCTAGTCAGTTGTTTAATCATTTAAACAACAAATTATAATAAAAGAAATACTCTATTTAATCCTAACCCGATAATGATTTTAATTGTTTAAATCACATATCCAAAATCCAAGTTTTGACAAATCATCCACGTCTTCCCCAATATTATTTTATTAATGTAAAATAATACACTAACCAGTAAGTACTAAACTATTCTCATTTAAGAATATCTAACCCTAATCCAATCCATACATACAACAACCATAGATGATATTTTAATCATCTAACACATAACAACGTAATTATGCTTTGGCAAATCAACCATGCCATTGTAAATATTTTTATTTATATATTGGCAATTCAACCATGCCTCCATAAGTATATTTATTTATACATTGGCAATTCAACCATGCCTCCGTGTATGTATATTTATACATTGGCAATTCAACCATGCCTCCACAGGTATATTTATTCATACATTTAATTAGCAATTCATCCATGCTTTCCATATATGTATTCTATTCATACAAATATTTAGGTAATATATTTAATCATTTGACAATTCATCCATGCCCACACTTTAACCATGAATTAACTTTAAAATTAACAATACGCTAAATCATACATAGCCATCACATGCATATTATACGCATATCATTAATTTAACAACCAGCCTATTAAGATATGCCAAATAAGAATGATAATATTAATCATCTTAAATGATTTATATATATATATACCTACACATATGTTATTTAATGTATATATGTGTTTAACACCTTCTTTAATAATCCTTGATTATTTAAAATCAATATACATATATACATACATATATATATATATTCATCCTTCCATACAACTCATAGACAAATTATATATATATATATATATATATATATATATACACACTTCCTTCCATAACAAATTATTAATTTATTATATTTACACAAATTAGTACAACTAAATATGTCAGAAATAGTTTCCTTTAAATACTCCATATTGGTTTAAATAGTTTTCCGACACTTTCTCACTAAAACATAAATATCTCCTAGTAGGATGGGAATCTGATAATGAAATTGGTACCATTGGAAAGAGGACGAAAAATCCTTGAATTTGAGCTCAAGAATGACCCAGTTTCGATTTAAAATGACTAAGTTATGACCGTTTTAATTTTATGTCACAAACAGGCAAAATAATTGGCTGAGCTCAAACACTACTGTGAGCGCGCCCACACTTAATTAGCTCACTTGAGCTCACACAAACGCACCCACACCAGATTAGCTCACTTGAGCTCACATGTATGCACCCACACCAGATCAATCTTCTGTTGACCAAACTTAATCCATGGTCCAGATTCACATGTGCACTCTTTTGTGTACACCGCAATGCACCGAATCATTCCACTTATATCTAAACTATTCCAATGGCCCAGATTAGTGGTGTAACCTCTTACCATGCACCGTCCTACACCAGATTACTACCCTATTGTTGCGCCCACCTTACAAACGCCGCCTCCAGTGTTGTATATATATATATATATATATATATATATATATATATATATATATATATTATAAATTATCTATATAATTTTGCCAAATTAAGATAGAAAATAATTCTTGAATAATTCCAAAAAATATAAAACACATTCTAAAATTAATCTAAAAATTCCAAAAAATTCTCATAAATGCTAGAAACACTAATTAACCCTCTTGGGTCTAGATCCAGCCTATCGATTGATGTAAACAAAATATACAACACATATATAAAACAATAAAAATCTAAAATTCCAAAAATAAAATATAATAATTCATATTTTTAAGATTCCGTTCTAACCATCATTTAATCAATAAATTTAATCTTAAATTTTGATACTCAAGGTGAAATCCTTATGAGTTCTAAGAGGAAAGTTAGAGAAGAACTCGCCTGAAGGTTTCAAAACGAAACCGACGCTTTAAGCTTTAATTATCTCTTCCAATTCCGACGTCCTCCTTTTCAGATCCGACCTCCTCCTTGTCAGCCCTTCTTCTTCCTCTCTCTCTGTCTGTTTTATTTTTTTAACGTGTAAAACCTTTAACCCTAAAGCCTTATGTGTATTTTTATACACCTTAAATTCCAAATCCTATTCCAACTAGTATTATGAATTAAAATAATAATCTTTAAATAATTTATATCTATAAACATATATATATATATATAAATATATATTCCTTCCATAATTAACTCATTAGTTAATTAAATCATATATACTTATAAATATCAATAAATATATATCTATATATATATCTTTCCATAACAATTATTAATGAATTATATTTATATATAATTATATATATATATAAATATAATTGATACAAAAGTGATCATTTAAATAATTAAATAACCACGGACCTTCATTAATTAACCCAATAAGGTTTCATACAAGCCCAAGACCACATCTTTTGGTCCAACTTTCCTTAAGCCCAATCCAATTAATTTAAATAAATAAGATAATTAATTAAATACAGAAATTAAAATAACTAATTACATGAAGCACATAAACAAACAAGAATTTACAACTAAGTCATATAATACCAATAAAATCAACACACCAATAATTCAATCAATAATCAACCACACAAACAATCAATCATCATACATAATCACGAAATATAACTTAATTAAAATAAGATAATTAATCTAGCACTCAATAAAATAAAATAAATCATTGAAAAATAAAATAAAATAATTAATCCTAATTAATAAATCTTTTAAAATTATCGGGGTATTACAAATAATATTAGGTCATGCACACCAACAACAATAGAAATATACCAACAAAAAAATTGGCAGTGAGTTACGTATTGTTGGAGGCTTCTCTCCACTGCTCCTTATTTGGTTTGTAGGTTTTATTTTATGTTTTGATAGGCAAACACAGGCCTATTTTGCCACTAGATGTGGAGGTCTCTTTAACAGGGGATGGAGGTCATGCTCCTTAAGTTAAGGGTCCAGTGGTATCTTGCTCCCATTTTAGGAAGTATATCGCTAAAAAAATTTCAAAGAGGATTGCTAGGGGTAAATTTTTTTAGCCATTTATATATGTTTACTTTTTTTTCAAGCAGAGATCAAAACCTACAAGGGATTTGAAAACAATATTTTATTTTTAAAAATTGTAAATAATTTTAAGATGATATACATTTGTTGTTCCTTGTTTTTTCTTTGTCAAGATTTCCATAAATTTAAGTAAAAATAGCATTTCAAACAATACTTAACAACTTATTGAATTGCAATATAAAGTCATTTGAGTCCTTTAGGGATCAATTGATTGAAATGCAGAGTATGCGTGATGAATTTTACTTTGAATTGACTTGATTGTAGGCCTTGGCGTCACAGTTGCATTATTTGTGGGATGCTTTTTGTTATATTGGGGAATCAAGAGGAGAAAACTCATCCAACTTAGAGAAAAGTTTTTTCAACAAAATGGTGGTATGATGCTACAACAACAACTTTCAAAACTTGATAGTTCAGCTGAGACAGCCAAAATCTTTACTATAGAAGAGGTGAAGAAGGCAACCAATAACTTTAGTGAAAGTGAAATTGTCGGTCGAGGAGGTTATGGTACAGTTTACAAAGGAATTTTATCGCAAAACAAAATAGTTGCAATTAAAAAGTCCTCTGTTGTCGATCAAAGCCAAGTTGACCAATTCGTTAATGAGGTGATTGTGCTTTCCCAAATCAACCATAGAAACGTGGTAAAACTATTGGGTTGTTGTTTAGAGACAGAAGTCCCCTTGCTGGTTTATGAATTTATCACCAATGGGACTCTATACCACAATTTGCATGGAGTAGGTCATGTCTCATCGATGCCGTGGGAAATACGTCTAAGAATAGCCAAAGAAACTGCAGGAGCACTTGCATATTTGCACTCTGCAGCTTCCATACCAATCATTCACAGAGATGTCAAGTCTACTAACATACTCTTAGACGATAACTTTATTGCAATAGTTTCAGACTTTGGATCTTCAAGATTAGTTCCATTGGATAAAACACAACTAACCACAATGGTTCAAGGAACGTTTGGCTACTTAGATCCTGAATATTTCCATACAAGCCACTTGTCAGAAAAGAGTGATACATATAGCTTTGGAGTGGTCCTTGTGGAGCTACTTACAGGTATAAAAGCACTTTCTTTTGACAAACCAGAGGAAGAGAGAAACTTAGCCACATACTTCCTTTCTTCAATGAAAGAGAATCGATTGTCCTTAATTCTAGATGATCGAATCGTGAACGAGGGTAACTCGGATGAGATGCTTGAAGTTGCAAACATTGCACAGTGTTGCCTAAGATTGAAGGGGGACAAACGACCTACAATGAGAGAAGTGGCAATGGAGCTTGAGGGACTAACAAGAGTGGAGAAGCACCTTTGGACTAGTATCGATGTGGATCCAGAAGAGACGGAGTTCTTACTAAGTGGATCATTGAACTCTCAGAGCATCACAACTGGATGTGATAGTCTCAAGGACAAAGACGTAATACCATTAAAGGTTGATCACGGCCATCTAGCGTCTTGCAGCAATCTGAGTAGGACAATGACTGGGGTTCCCATATACCAAGGGCCATCTGGTGCACTTAAGTGGGACACAATTTGATGCACTTGAATGGAAAACATGTATGCCCTATTTTAGTGTATGTTTCAGTTGATTGTTTCCGTGAAACAACTATTTTTCATTAGAGATTTGCTTTAATCCATGTAATTTGAATATTACATAATGTAGTTTTTTAACATAACAAGAACATCATGATACTTTACTTACCGGGAAAAAACGAGAACGGTGATAACATTGTTCTTTCTCGCTCCTAAATAACAGTTGTAGTTGTCTTAAAAAAAGACTAAGATATTTTTGTTATAATGTTATTAATAAACTTTTCTTTTACTCTGTTCAAGATACAGAGGATTGGGCCAGTCAATTTTCGCGTGGTATTATAATCAAGCAAACTCAAGGTGATTGACCTAAGTAGAATTTTTTTGCACAAAATAATTCAATAAAATTATAATTTATTATTATTATTATTGACTAAAAACACACTCACACACTTCTTTTTGTTCTTACGAAGACTCAAACTCTCCACTTTCTACTTTAAAAGGTGAGGTACAAGGCCTTTGGAAATAAAATTGTATTGTAAGTTAGGTAGATTTATTAATTGATTATTTTCTTGTTATGTTATTTATTTTGTTTATTCTTTTGGATTAAATGGCATTACTTTTTTAAAATATTAATTCTTTTCAAGTGAAAAACAAGGCAGACATCCTTTTTTTTGTCATGAAAAACGGGGAAGACTAACCAATTTGAATGGAAGATGAATTATAAATTTCAAACCGTAGATATTATTTGAAATCCGATCTTTTGTATCTCACAAGAACGAAAAAGAAAATTTATAGAACAAATTTTCATAATAAAAGCAAACTTAAAAGATCTTGCACCTTTAGATCCTTGAGAGAGACAAGAGTGGTATCGATGGGCGCGGGATCTTGTGGTGGAGCTGAGGAGGAGATCTGACACCGCCCTAAAAAAAATTTAGACCTATTGCTTTGAAAAAAAAGAAAAGAAAAGAGGAAAGAAAACAGGTTGACTCGGATAACCCGTCCGCCCCGTGAATATTTGGGTTGAAGGCCAAGGGTTGAAGCCCAGATTTATTTCACCTCGGGCCGACCAAACCTAATTAGGGGTGGCAATTCGTGTTCGTGGGTCGTAATTGTGTCGTGTTAATTTAAGAGTATTCTACTAAACAGCTCAACCCGAACACAATCAGTTTAATAATCGTGTCAGGAACCCTCAACACTAATCCAACCCGTTTAATAAACTTGTAACCCGTTTAATAAAATTAAATATTTTATTATTTAAATTATTAATAATACTCGATCAAACATTAAATACTAGAAAAATATTAGTTTCAATCGAACTAAATTACGAAATAATTTCTAATCTATCAAAGAATAAATTATAAGATACAAGTTTAGACAGTTATTTTGAAATTTAAATAGAAATTTGCTTATGACATGTAAAGTTAAACGAGTTACACGGGTTGAACTCCTCAGTCCAAACACGACATGACACGATTAACTAAACATGTTAATCGTGTTGACCCGTTTACGACCCGAACCCGTTTAAGATTAACCTAAACCCGTTTAATTCGTATCATGTTCGAGTCATGTTGACGAACCGTATCAAACTTTGACACTCCTAAACCCAACCCAAAATCGGGTTGAGGTCAGATCTGGTCTGAGTTGGGCAAGCCCAAGTTGCACGCCTGATGTTGTGGGAAAGACTTGTATAGTTATATTGCAATTGTTAATTGAAAGAAGTAGAATCAATGATAGGGTCCACCAATGCTTATTTGGAATGTAAGCATCAAACTGGAGACGCCTAATACAAAATTCTCAAAGTTAAGTCTTCAAACTGGGAACAGAGCACTTAAATGGCCTCACAATGTGTTATTAGGCTACCACTACTGTTCACGGCGTCAACAGCTCAAATACTAATATGACCCCTTTCTTTGATCTTTACAAACTTCTTTCTTTGATGAAGATTGAAAATATCACAAACTATTACTTTCGATTTTTGCAGACTTCATTTTTTTGTGAACAAGACGTTCTGCAGTAATCAGGGCGGAGCCAGAATTGCAAAGCAGGGAAGGCTAAAAATAATTAAACACATGATTGCTTAATGTGTCATCCATGTTCTAAATACAAAATTCTCATGCATCTTAGACCTAATAATCTACAATCTTCTAACATATTTACACTTCCAAATTATAATGTGTTTTCACAGTCAAGAATCCACTAAAATATGTTTCACACAAATATTAAAACAAATGCTAGCTAGAATACAAGATATATATGTTCCTTATCAATAAATTCACATTAGAAAGTAAGATCTATGTGTTTTGCCCCTTACTAGTTATTAATCCATTATATAGTAAATTACCCAATTTAACAAGAAACCATCAAGTCATCAACAAAGTTTTTTTTTTTTTTTTTTACAAATATAAAATCAATATTTCACCGAATTAACAATAATAAAACATAATATCCATCTACCTATGCCTTAGTGTCTTACACATGAAAAGTCTAGGTCTTTTTCTATAGACTAACAATGTGTTTGGTTTGCTAGGCTAGACCGTGTTATGTTTTATTATAGTTTCTTTTGTGATTGGGCTTGTCCATTGTTCGTGGACTTGTTCATATTTAAGGCTTAGCCTTTGTAAATTTTATAACTCCTTTTATTTATAGAAATACTATGGATTGGGCTTATAGGAAGAGGAAGAATAATACATGGGTTTATAGGAACAATAGTCCTAATTTTTTTTTTTTTCAATTGGATCTAAGCTATAGCCCAGGTTAGCCCATTACTAGTTCCTCCACAGTGATATGGCTAATCCAGATTGGAATTCAATCTAAAAACTTTGCATTAATTTGAGAGCTTCATACAAACTCAGCTACATCAAATTTGAGAAAAATCAGTTGCATGTTTTGTTAAAGCTATTTGCTAAGCAATATACTAGTGACAACTTCAGAATAACAATTAAAATAAGTGATTAGTACCTCCCACAAAAGATTTATTGTTGAAACAACCTGACTGGCATTTATAATTTGAAAAAGCACGGAATGGATTAGGCTCTTTGGGGAAAAAAAATTTCCAATTTTAATCCAATTTAATGTGTCGAATGTGATAATTCAAAATAATAGATTGAGTTCTGCTACATCACTCGACTACTCCTACAGTTCTCAGAGGCTGTGGTGGATCCCACATCCGCCTTCTAGTAACCTGTGACTTTGTGAGTAGTTATTGCTAGCCGAGTATTATAGAGTTTTCTAAAATAATATTTAAGTAGCAAATGACTATGTGTGAGTAGTCATCGCTACCCGAGTATTATTGAGTTTTCCAAAATAATATCTAAATAGGAAACTCATCACAACTTTCATTGGTTGGGTGGTGTTTTGTTGCAGCCCCGCAGTTCACATGTATGGTGGACTAGACAAGCCATTGAATTATCCAATGTTCTGGCCTCCATTGGCCTCCGAGAAGCTGTGACTTTGTGAATAGTCATCGCTTGCGGAATATCATAGAATTTTAATTCCAAAATAATATTTAAGTAGGAAACTCATGACCACTGTCCTTGGCTGGGTGGTGTTTTGTTGAAGCCCCGCAGTTCACATGACTGGTGGACTAGTCAAGCCATTGAATTATCAAAGGTTCTGTCCTCCATTGGTTTGTTAATTTAGGATGGAACTTGTGTGGTTGGAGTGAAGTCTTGAAGACCCCAATTCCACTGGCCAATGCGTTCAGGAATTATTGAATAGAAAAAAAGACAACTGACAAGTCTTGAAGATCCCAATTCCACTTGCACCCCTGCCTGGCCCCACCCATTAAATATATATAGCAGTTATATATATATATATATATGGAAAATTTTAATATAATGCCCCTTTAAAATTATTAGTTTCTGAAATTATATGTTAATTTTCTGGTTCTTTTCTCTTTAAATTCTTTGGATAGGTTTCCTTAGCACGAAGTAGATAGAGAAGAAAAGAAATAAAAAAATATTTAAAATTGTTAAGGGTTCATTTGGATAAATAGAAATTTTTTGATGAAAAGTGAAAGTGAAAATGAAAGAAGTAAAAGAATGGAAAAGAAATTTTAAGAAAATTTTTTAAGAAAATTATGAGAAAATATTGTTTTGTGAGTTTGGAAAAAATAAAAGTGAAAATAAAGTGATTATAGTTTCCAAAACTATCCTTTTAATTATCATATTATTTTGTACTCTTTCGACACACTATCATACTTCCTGAATTATGAACAAAATTAAAATTTCAAGTTCAAAGATTAAATAATGAACATTATAATATTTGTCTTATGATGTTTAATAATAGATATATGTCATCATAGGTGCAAGTTTAATTAATAAAAAATTTTGATCCGAAAAATATTGAGGATAAAATGTTGAAATTAATATATATACTTTTAGTCATAGAAAAAAAAAATTTAGCCTAATCAAAATAAAATACTTGGAACTAAATTAGTTTGATACATACCTAGAGTTAAATCTAAATGAGTTTAGTACATTTAATATACCTTGAATCTTAAAGTCACAAGAAATTTATATATAAAAAATACATGTATGAATTAAAAAATAATTTCAAAACTTGAATACGCATAGACTTTTTTGAAACTGCTAGAGTTGGTTTAATTCTACTTTACCCTTTTTAAATTATATTATAATAAAGAAAAGGTTGTATAACAAAACTTACAACATATCCTAGTCCTATTTTATTTTATTTTATTTATTTATTTATTTTTTGGATTTTTGGAAAGTAAACTACTATTCTTATTATCAACGAGAAAATAAGTAATAATAATGGTGAGATGAATAATAATACGTCCCTCTAACAGGTCAGGAATAGTGAGCCATACAGGAGGAAAATATCATGGGACGACTTAGAAGTCAAGTACAATTTGGAAGGGCTTCAAATTTAGGCTCTTTCATATCTGAAAATATTTGTGTTTTGTATTTTTGACATCTTTAACAAATAATGATTTAAATTTAAGACCCTAAATTTGTTCTATGTATTTTTGGCAGTTCATTTGAAAGATTTGTGTCATGTATTTTTGTCATTTTTAACAAATGATGATTTTTTATTTTTTATTATCGACAATAACCATCTAAAAGAGATCTCACTAGACCATAAATGATGATTAAATTTGAGACCCTAAATTTGTATATTGTATATTTTTAATTTACATTTGAAAGTTCGCCTAAAATCACTCCAAATTTTGTGAATCACAGGCCTAGTTATTGAAATGAAGCAAGACCCTCGCCTTCCACCAAACAAACAGACCTTGTTTAAGGAATACTGTCCGGACGAATTAAAGTATTCTTTCCTTAAAACCTATTCCATAAGTTTAGTGGAATTGAAAATCGGCCGATGTTCACATATATGAAGAAAAAAAAAAAAAAATCACATGAATAAGCTAAAATAAAGAGGCTCTAATTGAACTTCATTAAAACCGCTAAATCATCCGCCCCGATTCAAATCATAAGGTTTGATTCAATTTCGTGGATCAACGTTTCAATTCTGAATTTAATAATAGTGGAATCATTTAGTTTGACCCTCACTCAAATAAACATATTAATAAAATAGTATTCAACGTAATTCTAATTTAGAACACATTACATTATTGATAGGACAAAATTTTATTTAGGTCATAAAGATTCAAGTAAGGTGTGCTTTAAGTTAGGTTAATTACTAATTATAACTAAATTATAATTAAGCTGAAGCTGTAAAACCGTACCACTAGATATTATCAGTTCTTATACGGTTCGGAATCTTCGGATTACTTCAGTTTAGGCGGCACATCAACTCGATTGCAATTTTACTGGACTTTATTGGAACAGCTATAGTTGGTTTAATTCCTTTATCCTTTTCAAATTATATTATTATAAAGAAAATGCTGTATAACAAAACTTACAACATACCTGATACCCTTAGACCTATAAAAGGATTGGCCTCAAATTACATTTCTTGTTCAATGTAAAATATATTTTTTTTGAAAAAGATTTTCTTTTTGAGGTAAATATATATATAAATTTTTTTTTAAAGTTAGCCAAAGGTTAAGTCGAGTCAATCAGATTAAACTTGTAAAATAATTTGTCTAAAATTGATCACTAAGTTATTTTTATTAAATTTTAATATTTTTTTTCCAAATATTTTATGACAATCAAAGACTGAAAAAATAAAAAATTATTTTTTAAAAAGAATTTTACATGTTTGAGAATGAAACCAAACTATTCTTATTATCAGGAGAAAGCAAGTAATAATAATGATGACGTCTATGATGATGAATAATAATATGTCCCTCTAACAGGTCAAGAAGAATAGTAAGCCATACTGGAGGAAAATATCCTGGGACGACTTAGAAGTCAAGTACAAGCCATAAAGGATAACATTTAATCTGTTGAATAGTAATCACTCTAGCATTTCTATTTAAATACTACAACACTAGACGAAAGTATCAACACACTCACATTCTACAAAGAATAAGTAGTTCCAACACTAGTTAACATTAGTTGATCGAAAGATAGAGAAGCATTGAGGTATCATGAGAGGCTACAACTTTTTTTTGTACTGTCAATGGCGATGATATTAGCAGCAGTTGCAGCTGCAGCAACACCAACGGTTTGCAATGAAAGCTGCGGCAACCTGACTATTCCCTACCCATTCGGCACACGGAAAGGCTGTTATCGAGATGAATATTTCCACATCAGCTGTAAAGACTCCACACCATTTCTAAAGGGAGGCAACTTACAAGTCCTTGACATATCACTCCACGGTGAGTTTCGAATCTCCAGCTGGGTAGCATATGATTGCTACAAACAGTTGGTACGAAATGGCTACGACGACCGTTCGTTGTGGTTGTTCAATTACTCCATCTCATATAAGAGAAACAAGTTCATGGCTATTGGTTGTGACACTTGCGGCTATCTAAGAGGTTACACAAAACAAAAGTCGATAACAAATTGCATGGCCTACTGTAATACAATGGATGATGTGATAGATGGCTTCTGCTCCGGCGTGGGTTGTTGCGAGACACAGAATCCCATGGGAGTTTTGGATTATAATTTGAGCGTGAGAAGCTATAACAGTCACAATGGAATTTTGGATATCAATCCTTGTGGCTTTGCACTTATCGTTGAAGAAGGTGAGTATAACTTCTCAAAAGTTCATCTTTACAATTTAAGCGACATTGAGAAGATGCCAATGGTGGTTGATTGGGCAATTGAAATTCAGAGAAAGAATATGAGAATAAAAACTCAATTCAATAATTCATTGATGAGTATTACATTTAATTTATAAAATAAGATTAGCTAAAATAGGTAACAAATTACCTACCAATTAGCTCTAAATAAAGGAGTAAATAATTCAATCCTACAGCTGTACTATAAGAGATAAAATCTCAACACTCCCCCTCAAGTTGGTGCATAGATGTCACACATGCCCAATTTGTCTAAAATTTTTGAAAACACTTTATTTGAGACTGCTTTGATGTGAATGTCGGCTAGTTGATCCTCAGATCGAATCTTAGGCAACTCCAAGATTTTCCTATCTAACTTCTCCTTAAAGAAGAATCTGTCTGTTTCAACATGCTTCATACGATCATGTTGAACTAGATTATGGGCAATATCACATACTGTTTTATTGTCACAATATAGTCGAATCGATTTTCCAGGTAGATGACCCAAATCCCGCAAGAAAAGTCTTAACCACAAAGTTTCACAAAGTCTAAGCGTCATACTTCTGAATTCAGCTTCTGCACTTGAGCGAGCAACAACATTTTGTTTCTTACTTTTCCATGTAACAAGATTACCTCTTACAAAAGTGAAGTAACCAGAAGTAGATCGCCTATCATCTATAGCTCCAGCCCAATCAACATCAATATATGCATTTATGTTTTGATAACCAGTATTCTTAGTGAACAAAATTCATTTTCCAGGAGCAGATTTTAGATACCTCAAAATGCGCATAACTGCATTCATATGTTGCTCTCCAGGATCATACATAAACTGGCTAACAATGCTTAATGCATAAGCCATATCCGGTCTCGTGTGTGCTAAGTACATCAATCTTCCTACAAGTCTTTGGTATCTTCCTTTATTAGCAGGTACTTGGTTAGACTCAACACATAACTTCAGTCCTTCTTCTACTGGTATCTTAGCTGGTTGACATGATGTCATACCAATCTCTTGTAACAGATCTAAGGCATACTTTTTTTGAGATATAAAGATTCCTTTATTAGATCGAGATACTTCGATCCCAAGGAAATATCTCAAAAGACCTAGATCTTTAATTTCAAATTCTCTGGACAAATACTTTTTGAGAGCCTTCATTTTTTCAGAATCATTCCCTGTAACCACCATGTCATCTACATATACAATGAGTGCGGTGATCTTACCCTATTGTTTCTTCAGGAATAATGTGTGGTCTGAATTGCTCTGACAGTAGCCAAAGGTTATCATTGACTTTGTGAATCTTCCAAACCATGCTTTCGGAGATTGTTTCAACCTATATAATGATTTCTTTAACTTACAGACCTTCCGAGTATACTTTTCGGGTATCATGCATCCTGGTGGAAGATCCATGTAGACTTCTTCAGATAATTCACCTTACAGAAAGGCATTCTTCACATCGAATTGTTGCATTGGCCAATCCAAGTTCGCAGCTAAAGACAACAAGACCCGAACTATGTTGATTTTGGCTACAGGTGCGAACGTCTTTGTGTAATCGATTCCATAGGTTTGGGTGTAACTTTTTACCACCAATCTTGCTTTAAAGCGTTCAACTGTGCCATCTGCTTTATACTTCACAGTATAAATCCATCGACATCCAACTGGTTTCTTTCCTGGTGGAGGATCAATGAGTTCCCAAGTTTCATTTTTCTGCAGGGATTTCATCTCCTTGTTCATAGCTACTTTCTACCTAGGGTCAGCTAAGGCTTCCTGCACACTGTTAGGAATAGATACAGTATATAATTGATTTACAAATGACAAATTTGATTCTGACAATCGATGGTTCGACACATAATTGCTCATAGGATATTTAACTTTACTAGAAAATTTGGGTTCATATGTGGGTTTAGGAATACCTCTAGTGTGACGCGGTGGTAATTGTTTTCTGAGCGGCTCTAGCACTAAATAAGGAACATCCTCAGCAGGCGATTGGTTTAATATATTAGTTACGAGGGACTCGAACTCAGACGACGATGGGTTTGGCGCCATACTTTCCATTTCTGGGCGTTCATCACCACTTTGATCCAAACTTATACCACTCGAATCCAATTTTCCTGATTCCTAATTGGTTGGTCCACCTTGTAAGTCATTAACACTAGAATTACCATCCTAAAAAATGTGATAATCATAATTTAGAGTCTAAATTTCGTTCTGGTACTGCCCCTGAAGTTCAGACGCAGAGGAAAAATACATCGAGTCTTCATGGAAGACAACATCCATTGTGATAAACATTCGTCGAGTGGACACCATTTTGTTCTGGTACTAATACCCCTTTTGATGAGTAGCATATTCGAGAAAAACACATCGCAATGCGCGAGGAGTTAGCTTGTTACGTTGATGCTTATGGATGTGTACAAATGCTACACAACCAAAGACATGAGGAGGTAGATTTGTGACGGTTGGGGCAACAACTGTGTTAGTGAGAGCCTGCAATGGTGTCCGGAAGGCAATAGAGCTGGAAAGTACTCAATTGATGAGATATGCTACAGAGGTAAGTGCTTCTCCCCAATACGATAATGGCATATGCGTTTTTATCAATGAAGCACGAACAACCTCCAACAAGTATAGATTTTTTCGCTCTGCAACCCCGTTCTGTTGGGGTGTATTGCAACACGTGGTTTGATGAGTAGTTCCATGTGCTTCCAAATACTGCTAAAGGTCAAAACTCTGATATTCTCCACCATTGTCACCACGGAGGACCTGAACATGTGCATTGTATTGCGTTTCAACCATTTTATGAAACTTCTGAAATAATAAGTCCACTTTACCTTTGGACTTCATCAAGCACAATCAGGTCATCTTGGTACAATCATCAATAAAAGTAACAAACCAACGGGATCCACTTAAAGTAGTGACTTTGGACGGACCCCAAACATCAGAACGTAAAATCATAAAAGGAAGTGGACTTTTATGCAAACATAATGGATACAAAACACGATGACTCTTTGCTAGTTCACAAACATCACAGCGGAAACTAGAAATATCACATTTTGCAAACAAACTAGGAAATAATTTTTTCAGATAACCAAAGGAAGCATGCCCCAGACGTCGATGCCACAGCTAGTTTCAGATTTTTTTCTCTCCCCCTCAGAACCATCCACTGTTAATGTTTGTCATAGCTTGTCGGAACTTTTGGACATCAAGTCCAAGTAATACAGTTTCCCTCGCCTAATACCACAACCAATCGTCTGCTTTGTTTGGATGTCCTTAAACACACAAAAATCAAGCCAAAAAATGACAACACAAGATAAAGTTGTGGTTATTTGGGAAACTGACAAAAGATTAGAATCTAAAAATGGAATAACTAAAACAGAATCTAAATGAAGATTATCAGTGAGCGTCAAAGATCCTTTCCCAACAACTGGGGTCGAAGTCCTATTGGCAATAGAAACAACTTTGTGTGAGGATGAATTAAGAGGTGAGACATGTCTAAAATCAAATGTCATATGATCTATGGCACCAGAATCAATTATCCATGCACTATTAGCAACATGTGTAAAAATATTAAAATTCTTACCACCAGTATCTGTTGTTTTAACAACTGCTGCAGTGGAGGTCTTTCTTGAATTATTCTTCCAATGGCAATGATCCCACCATTTCGGATATCCCACAAGTTTAAAACAGCGACTTTTGATATGACCACCAGTCTGGTTGCAATGAGTGCATTTGTAGGTAGGCTTGTTTGCTCCATATGATTCAATATTTGTTTAACTCATTTTTTTTTTTTTTGAACTAGTTTATCATAGAACTAGTTTTCAAATGAGGTTACAAAAAACTGGTTTAGTTTTGAACTAATCCAGAACTAGAATAGTATTACACTTGTGGCCAAACAGAGGTTTTTGATTTTTTTTTTTTGAATATTATATATATATATATATATATATATATATATATATATATATATCAGAAGAACAAATCAAGAAATCGGCGATGCGAACCATGAGCTCCGGTCGAGGAAGGCGACCAGCAATGCAGCGGTGGCGGGTCATCAAGAAGATCGGCGCTGTGAGTCCAAATCCAGTTCAGATCGTCGACTTCAGAAAGCAGATCCGGTTCAGCTAGCCATCTCCCTTGTCGCCGTCGCTAGTTATGGCTGGCTTGGACTCGTGGCGCGGCAAGGAGATCCAACGATGCGACGCAATACAGGAGGTAGTGGCAGAGAGCGGCTTGCGATGTGGAGAAGATTCGGCGACGGCTATGATCCGGCGATTTGGCAGTCGAGGTGCAGCGGTTCGTTGTCGGCAATCAGCAGTTTAGTTTGGCAACGTCATCGTCGTTTGAAGAGTCGTCGGCGGGCAGCAGTGCACGGCAGATTCAGATCCGGGTATGTGTATGTGTATGTGTATATGTATGTGTATGGGTATGGGTATAGGTATGGGTATTGTTATGTGTCTGTTGTATGTGTATGTGTATGGGTCAGTGTATGGTTCAATGAATAAAATAAACAAAATAAAAATAAATTCAAAGAGATTCAAAGGTACGGTTCAAGATGGCTCTGATACCAAATTGAAATTCAGAGAAAGAATATGACAATAAAAACTCAATTCAATAATTCATTGATGAGCTTTACATTCAATTTATAAAATAAGATTAGCTAAAATAGGAAACAAATTACCTATCAATTAGCCCTAAATAAAGGAGTAAATAATTCAATCATACAACTATACTATAAGAGATAAAATCTCAACATGGACACTTGACAATAAGACTTGTGAAGAAGCCCAAATGGATGTGAACAACTATGCATGTAGGAAAAATAGCAAATGCTACGACTCCGATAATATTAGGGGCTATCTATGCAATTGTTCCGTGTTGACCCCTACCTTCCAAATGGTTGCCAAGGTATGTATATATATATGTGCATATATTGCTTTTGTTTCCATATGATCTTATTTTGAACTTTATTTTGTTAATTTGGATGGTTTAATATATTGCAGATATCGACGAGTGCAAGATTTCAGAACGCAATCCGTGCACAAACATTTCGTCCAAAAATGTTTGTAACAATACAGATGGGCACTTTTATGTTCTTGTCCAGAGGGGTATCACGGGGATGGCAAAAATATGTTGTGGTTTTGTGGAGTCTGATTAGGTGGAAGATTTTTAGGAAGATTTAATTATATGAAAATTTCAAGAGTACTGAATTTTTAGGAAAAATTCAGTTTCCTAATCTGTTAGGAAAAATTCAGTTTCCTAATCTGATTTGACTTCCTTATTGGTTTAAGGAAAATTCAGTTTCCTGATCTGATTTAATTTCCTTATTGGTTTTGGATTCTACAAAAGGCAAGTTCTTGTAGGACAAGTATGGGACTCTATAAATAGGGGTGAAACTTAGATATGAAGGTGTGCCAATACAAGAAAGAGCAATTGAGAGAGATTGAGAGAGAATTCTCCTTGTAATTCTTCATCTTTTTCATAGTGAATTTGTTCGGTGTGCTCCATGGACGTAGCCCTAAGATTTGGGTGAACCATGTATATCTTGTGTTCTTGTGTGTGATTTTTTTTTCTTTGTGATTGCTTAATTATTCCTCGAA